CCTCACGGCGGCCAGGAAGAGAGAGGAGTCCACGAGATCTGACTTTACGTTCCCTCCGCGGCCACCAGTGATGACGTCACCGAGAGCCCGCCCACCCTCCGAAGACCCATTTCCGAGCTGCACCGGAGCATGAGGTGAGGCGTCTGGTCTTAAGCCGGCTTCGATGATGCTGGACTTGGGAAGGTGCGGCGGGGGGGGGGGGCGCTGACGGTCCAGCGGCAGAGCCCGTGCTCTCGTCTCCTGCCCAAGGAGCGCGGAAAAGCCACCAGGTCATTTGTCTTCATGGCCAACAGGCTGCTAAGCCAAGACCCCAGCCCTTGGTAAGGGGGCTGGTCACACGCCTGGTGAGGGTTGGGGTGAAGCTCAGTGGTTGATCGATTGCCTAGCATGAGTAATGCCCAGGATTAGATTCCCAGTATCACAAAGATCTTTTCATGGTTTTTACTCACCTTTTTGCAAATGGTAAATGGACACCTAAATTACTCAGTGTCAGTATAGTTCATTAACTACTAGTATAAATCCAAACTTCATTGCTTTATATCATAGGGATCTGTGACAGAACCCTTTACCATTTTCTTAGTATTTTACAAGATGAATAACTGATATTGTGCTTCAGACACACAGTCAACCCTCGACGACATCAAAATACCGAAGCCTTTAGTTTTAGGCAAGACACATGACAGTACAGTATGAATGGCAACCTAGCAATATACTACAGCCATGTGTGAGGGGAGAGTGTCTCATTTATCCAGACTGGCCTGGAGGATGACCTTGAATTTCTGACCCTCCTGTCTTCTCTTCTGAGTGGAGTGTTGGGATCAGAGGCCTGCACCACCATACCCATTATGCAGTGCAGAAAGCCCATGGTTTTGTGTGTGCATGCTAGGCAAGCATCTTCTAGCTGAGCTGTATTGCCAGCCCTTAAGGTCTTTCTTAACCAAAGGCTTTGTATTTTGAGATTGGTCTCAAATGCATCCGAGGCTGGCCTTGAATTTTTAATACTCCCTGTCTCCCTATTGCGGAGATTACAGACCAACACCGCCATGCCTGATGTAAGTGATGCTGGGGATAGACCCCAAGGCTTTGTGCATGCTTGGCAAGCTATGTTTGAAGCCTTGCTGAACCACTTACCAGCCAAAGAACTTTGGGTGATTGACTTTACTCCTTAGCTTACAAAGTTGATACTATAGCTTCTAATACCATAGCCCATAAGAATATCCTAGGAAATATTGCCATTGGTGGCATCATATATCATAACCATTTTATCTAGAGATGCCCCTTATCTCAGATTTCACACTTCCAATTCTATATGTGTTCTGTAGAAAATTGTGAGCAGAGGCCATTGGGTATGGGGAGGCTGCTGGGCTCCTTAATCCTTCCGTTACAAGGGCAAGTAGATTGAAGATGCAAATTTATTGTTTAGTCAGTGACAAAGATCATATGGTCCTGCAGGAGAGATTGTCCTCCCACACCATTCAAATTTTTTGTCAGCACTTAGCAGGTGACTTGAAAGAGAATTTATATTTTCATTCTCAAATGCCATTGTGAATGTGCTCATAATGTAGTTTGATGATGTTTTTTGAATCTTTTCCTAGAATCTTATGGAAGCCATTTGGATTCTTAAGAAGACTTTTACAAGTAGAATGTTGTCACCCCAATGAGTTGATATCTGTGTCTGTACTGACAAGGAGGACATTGGTAACGAGGCTTAGTAAAGCACCTAGTATTTTTTGGTTGGGTCAAAGACAAGGATTCTCAACCATGCCAGAAATAGAAGCAAGTATCAGAGATACCGAACTATTTTCACCACCCTCTGATGTTCGAGGAATGACAAAACTTGACAGAACAGCTTTTAAAAAGACAGTGTCCATCCCGGTGCTTAAAGTGAGAAAAGAAGTGGTCAACAGACTGATGCGAGCCCTCAAGAGGGTGGCCCTGCAGCGTCCAGGCGTAAAGCGAGTCATTGAGGATCCCGAAGATGGGGATAGTAGACTCATTATGCTGGATCCCTACAAAATGCTCACCGTTGACTCATTTGAGAAAGCAGAATTCGCTGTTCTAGAGGAACTTGATGTCAACCCACAGTTATCTGAATACAATTTGGAACTAACTTATGAAAACTTTAAGTCAGAAGAAGTTTTGAGGGCTGTGCTTCCTGAGGGTCAAGATGTGACCTCAGGGTTCAGCAGGGTTGGACATATTGCACACCTGAATCTCCGAGATCATCAGCTACCATTCAAGCATTTAATTGGTAGGTGTATTATAGTTCGGTTCATGTTCTAGGAAAAAAAATGACTAATTTTAGTGCTTCAGTTTTTATTTCAAAATGCTAACTTACAGAAGCAGGGTAGCTTATTTTAATTTCAAGTCAAATTGTAAGCACCATCCTGTTTTTTGAAGAACATTTTGGATATATCCTCTCCATAGTCACGGGATTGGCACAGACTTTGGGTATCACGACACCAAAAAACAAAACAAAAAAAACCAAGAGCTTCTATATTGAATATAAATCTTTTGGTCCAAAAGGCTACTTTGGGACAATGTTCAGTAGTACTAGGTTTCAAAATTTTTGGTGTTTTAGAGTCAAATATACAATGCTATTCATTTATTGACTTAGCTAATTAAGCCTCTTCTTTATGTTAAGTACTTGAAGACATTTTAAGTGTTCCTAGCTGTTTAGAAGCTCCATAGAGACCCAAGGCCTTTATAATTGAATAGAAGACTAATCAAAATCATGTTATATAAGTATTTGGTGTACATGCATTCTGTAGATTATTACTCTTTTTAATACAATAACATTTCAAAACTTGTGGGGATTATTCTCAGCTTTAAAATGCAGTATTCAGTGTTTTGCATGGCTAGGACTTGATAATGGTGCCATTCTGTTTTCTCTGTTTTTATTGACAAAGACACTGATCCTGCACGGTAGTGACCCTTGTGGGGACTAGGTGCAGTGTCAGATGTGGGCTTTCATATACTACCTGCCTACCCTAACTCAAAACATTCTTTGGCCATTCTTGTTTTTTAATTTTTCATAAAGTGCTCAGGGGTTACAAAACACCTCTGGCTGGAGACACAGCTCAGTGGGCTTACCAAATATGTGCAGTTTTTGCTATGGAATTTTAGAATTGCTTTTAATATTTTAAGATTTCATTTAAAATTAACTTTTATATCTTAAAAGTTAGTGGAAAACAATACAGCCATGAATGCGTGGGCAGCACAAACAAGACTTGGTGGGTGTGAAAAAAAAGAGAACACAGAGTGGGTGGGGAGGGGAGAGGGATGGGTGGATCTGGGAGTTGGGGAAAGAAGTTAGTAACCTTAAAACTCACTGTACAAATTCTCAAAGAATTTTTTAAAATTGAATTCAGATATTTGAAGCAGGACACGTATTCTGAATTCTGAAATTCTCATTGTACTTCAGTGAATTTATATTCAGTACATTTTACTGACTTACAGATGAAGTTCTTTCCTTATGAAACCAGAGCATAAAGGTCTTTATAGAATTTTGAAATGTTGACAAAAAGATAGAGACTTGACTAAAGGGCAGCAGTAAGTCATTTTTGATGTATATTATTGTCTTTGTAGCTTTTCCACTATGATAAATATTCAACTGAAAGAACAATTTAAGTAAAAGGACTTTTTAAATTTAGGTCAGACACTGAAGAACCTATGTCTCCTTGGTTGTAAACATTGCTTGTTGATACACATTTCCAAACTGGAGACACTTGTTTTAGACCCACAGTAAAAAGCACCCTTTGGTGTGAGGCCAGCAGGGACAGGCATGTCTTTGCTGGCTTTCACGGACCATTTGTTGTTCGGGGCTTTCACAGCTTCTCATTCCATTCTTTGCCAGTTTCATATTTGCTTTTATCTTAATATGTTTAACAAAAATGTGGAAAAAACAGTAAACTACAAGTCCTCAAAAAAATTTTAAAGGTGCCCATAAATTTTCTATATGTACTATAGGCTGTCTGTCGTCAACTCATCTCTTTGATTTTCAGAATTGTAGGCAGAATTACACCATGTACAGTTTTTATTTGTAAACCTAAGGAAAATGCAATTCATTTCTGTTAAGTATTTTCCATTTTAATTTCACAAACAGTAAGCAGTATTTATAATGAATTTGCCATCTTCTAGGCCAAGTTATGATAGACAAAAATCCAGGAATCACCTCTGCAGTAAATAAAACCAGCAATATTGACAACACATACCGAAATTTCCAAATGGAGGTGCTGTCTGGAGAGGAGAATATGCTGACCAAGGTACTGTGCTGTATCACCAACCCAGAGTGAACAGAACAACTGGTGCTTGGGGCCAAGACAGCGCGTGTTCAGAATGCCCAGAGTTGAAGTGCTCTCTCTGTGAGGCTGAACAACTTCTGCACTCAGACTGGAAGGGGATCTGGTTAGTGCTGCTCTAATGAGAGCGAGCAGTCCATCAGTAAAGAGCTTTCGCTCTCTCTGTATTGCGGTGAATTGCACATGGACAGTTAAGTGACAGAGCAAGCTGTGCCACAGTGTGTGCAAAGTAGTTCTTGGGACATCCGCCTGGGTTATCCCTGGGCACTCTTGGGAGCAGATACTTAACTGTTTCCAGCTCTGGTCTGAAGCCTCTGCTTTGGTTCAAGGAGTATGGTAATAGACCAATATGAAATTTGGGCCCCAGGAAACAGAAGAAAGATGTAGCAGCTTTGTCTAAGTTAGGAACTTTCTGGTCTTTGATTCTTTGTTCATAAAATGAGGGGCTTAAATGTCTAATTTGTAGACATGAAACTTGTAAAATTTTAGTAATTATCATCTTTAGATGACATGTTTTTAAACATGGATACCTCAAATTCTAACATGTCTGTCTGCCTTTGCAACCTGAATGCTGTTGAGGACCGCTTGCTGTGTGGAAGTGCTCTAAGAGGGAGGTTTCAGATGATTCATGCTGTTTTCATTCTTCAACTGGTAACATAAGCCAGTTAGTTAGTTAGTTGGCCTCTCTGCAGTGTTCCTCATGTGAATTGGAATCAACTTTATGACCCTTTTGGATGGGAACAACTCTCAGGCTTTGAAGAGCTGACTTTTCTCATGAAAAAGGTGAATGCAAGATATTAGCCCCAGAAATGGTATGAACACTAGGATTCTACTCAAAATGTTTTCAAGTGAAGTTATTTCCTCCTATGATAGTAACATTTACATGTATGTTCTCACGTGTACACACATAACCTATCCACTTTCAGTGGACAAACTTAAAATCCAATGCAATTAACTAAAAACATGATATGTTTTTCAGGTTCGAGAAAACAACTACACATATGAGTTTGATTTTTCCAAAGTCTATTGGAATCCTCGTCTTTCCACAGAACATGGCCGGATCACTGAACTTCTCAATCCTGGAGATGTCTTGTTTGATGTTTTTGCTGGGGTTGGGCCCTTTTCCATTCCAGCAGCAAGAAAAAACTGCACAGTATTTGCCAATGATCTCAACCCTGAGTCCCATAAATGGCTGTTGCACAATTGTAAGCTGAACAAAGTTAACCAAAAAGTAAAAGTCTTTAACATGGATGGAAAAGACTTTCTCCAGGGACCAGTCAGAGAAGAGTTAATGCTTCGGCTAAGACTGCCAACTGAAGAAAAACCCTCTATCCACATTGTCATGAACTTGCCAGCAAAGGCCATAGAGTTTCTCAGTGTTTTCAAATCACTTCTAGATGGGCAGCCGTGCAGCAATGAGTGCCTTCCCACAGTGCACTGCTACTGTTTCTCCAAAGATGCTAATCCTGCTAAGGATGTTTGTCAGCAAGCTGGAGCCATGTTAGGCATTTCCTTGGAGGCAAGTAGTTCAGTTCACCTCGTGAGAAATGTGGCCCCTAACAAGGAAATGCTATGCATCACCTTCCAGATTCCTGCTGCAACTCTCTACAAGAACCCGGCCCTCACTGGAGGTGAGCAAGTTCTTCAGACTGGAGTGTGGCGTATAATACCGTTAACGTAGCTTGTGTGTATGTGTGTGTTCGAGCGCGTGCGTGCATGTGTGTAAGGTTTGCAAGTTGGAAAATTAAACTAGTTCCAGTCATTTTGTTGTGAGACCTTGCCACTTAGTTTAGAATGCTTGTTCAAGTTTTAGCATGATAGGTGGTTTAGACTAATAGGCTTGTTTCGTTAAAATAAATCCACAGCAATGTTCTTTAAGTTGACTGAATGAAAAAAATCTTAAGAATATCTTTTTTAGAAGAGTATTCAACTGTTAAAAATCCTCTAAAATGTGTTTTCTGAATTTGTTACAGAGAATTACGAAGAGCCATCTCTTAAACGGCAGAGGACAGATGATTCCTTCTTGGAACCACAAATCACTTCAGATTCTTAGTTTAAAATGTTTTCTCCATCTCCCCAGTAAATATTTTTTGTAAAGAAGTACAATTTGTATGACTTGACTATCGGGTATTTGTTATTGAGCCCTTATGTTTTGCTCTTATAAATGGAACAATACCAAAGTAAAACTTAACTGAAATAAGCTGAACTTGTGTAATAGACTGTTGTGTTGTTAGAATCTCAAGCATGCACCACCATGATCCAGCATCATTTTAAAATAGAATTGGGCCGGACGTTGGTGGCGCATGCCTTTAATCCCAGCACTCGGGAGGCAGAGGCAGTCGGATCGCTGTGAGTTCAAGGCCAGCCTGCTCTCCAGAGCGAGTGCCAGGATAGGCTCCAAAGCTACACAGAGAAACCCTGTCTTGAAAAACCAAAAAAAAAAGAATTGGTATGGGCCAGTAAGATGGCTCATTGGGTAAAGGCTTTTGCCTCCAAGCCTGATAACCTGAGTTTGATCCCTGGGATCAACATGGTACAAGGAGAGACTCCTGAAAGCTTTTCTCTAACCTAATGTATGCACCAGGTGATACATGCATACACATATGCAAAATAAATGAACAAACAAATTATATAATGATTTTACAATCCAAGCTATTTTTATTAGATAAATGTACTTTTAGTAGTGTCTGTCCCTTGGAAAGATAGTTTTTAAAGATTGATGACCACATTCTGCTTAATTAAGAAAGCATTTAATAACTACATTGTAGTTAGTATAAGAATGTGATTGTGTTATATAACTTCTCTACTACCAATTAGCAGTATAAAAGTAATACAAAATTAAATTATTTAGGTGAGGAATAGGAAAACCACATCTTCCAGGCCACATCCGGCACAATGGTCTATGACATGAGGATTTTCTTACATTTTCAAATGGTTGAAAAACAATAACATTTTGTAACATGGAACTTAGATGAAATTTGAGTTTGCGGTTTTAGTGTGCTGGAAGATTTATTGACACCTGCCCTCTCTATTAAATAGTTTTTTTTCTTTTTTTGTTTTTTTGTTTGTTTGTTTGTTTATTTTTGTTTTTCAAGGCAGGCTTTCTTTGTGTAGTGTTTTTTTGTTTGTTTGTTTATTTTTGTTTTTCAAGGCAGGCTTTCTTTGTGTAGCTTTGGCGCCTGTCTTGGAACTTGCTCTTTAGACCAGGCTGGTCTCGAACTCACAGAGGTCATCTGCTTCTGTCTCCTGGCCCCTATTAGTTTTCATATTGTGTATAGCTGCTCACATGATAAACAGCAGGGTGGAGCAATTGTAGCACAGACCTCAAGGTGACTCTTGTGGCCGTCCTGCAGCTTGGCATGCTACAGATCCCAACCTGTACAACCCAGGTTGGACTTGAACTCACAGCAAACCTCCTGCCTCAGCCTCCCACATGCTAGGATTACAGTGAATCGCCAAGCCCGGCTTCACAGGTTTCATTTTTTTGTGAGTAGTACATACCCATTATAACAGGATAAATGGACCTTGGATAGGTTATGCTTTGAAGTCTCAGTGGGGTGTGAATTATTGTCATTTAGATGACAAAGCATCTATACCCTTGTCCAAAAAAAAAAAAAAAAAAGAAAGAAAAGAAAGAAATAACAGTATGCATTGTATTGCCACACCAAAGTACCTGTCTCTACTTGTAAGCAATTCAGAAAAATTCAAAAACCCTAAGCCAGAATAGCAAATAAAACCAAAATAAGGCTATACCTTAAGTCCCCAAATGACTTTTAGCCGATTAAAGAAAGCCATTTACTGTTGCTGCGTTAATTGTGTTTGAATGTAGCAACTGAATAACTGTATTCAGAGAAAATAAACATGTTTCAGAGGATTGGCCTTGGGCAAGAACAGTTGTTCAGTTAAGAACAGTGGGAGTGGTGTCAGTAGGCAACTGAGAAGGTAAAGGATTCCACCCTGGCTTTTAAGGGCTGACAGATGTTGCAAATACTGCCCAGTTCTTTGAAGTTTTGTGACCAGGCTTTAAATACAAAGATGAAGCCTCCATGACTGCTCTCTGCGTGGAGCTATGAATAAAAAAGGAGCTTCAAAAACACTACAATGTGCAACTAAAACAGAATTTGCTAAGTCTTATAAATGATTTTTTTAAAAAGTATGTGGAGCAGAGGGCTTACTTGGACCTGTCTATAAAGCTTGTGAAATGTAAGGAGTTTAAAGCTTATGCCTGTTCACTGTTAATGCCCTGCGAAAGGTTGTAACCTCTCATACATGACTGAACCAGTCATATCTGTGGGAAACTTCATTTGTTTTCTGTGAGTCTTATCAGCAATTAAGGCTGAGATCTAGCCGGACTTGTACCACCTAATTTAATTTATCAAGAGTAAAGTTTGTAATTTAAAAGAATACAATCTTTAAAAGTGTGTGTGCACAAGCTTGTGTGCACCCATTATGCAACACTTGTGGACGTCAGAGGAAATACAAATTTTTCTCAACAAAAAGAACCATTGTTAAACATTATTCTGAAATACTGAGTGACCTCAGAAATTTACTTCATAAGGTCTTGGGACTTGATGTCGCTTAGAAGCTCAGTATTTTGGGGAGTTATTGTGGGTGCCAAGGGAATATGTCCACATCAAACTATTTACTGCAGTTAAGGAGTTTCCACCAGTAAAACTAGAACCTACTCATGTGCCGTGTAATGACAAACATCAGGAAAAGGATCTAATCCTCTTAGAAATGCTTTCCTACTCCTCCCAGAAGCCAGGGGTTGCCAAATAAAAAGCCCAGTGCCAGGCGTGGGGCACCTCCCCCTGAGTTGTGAGTTAGAGGTGTGCTGGAGACCCAACAGGCTTCTGCCATTGCTCTTGGTTGCCCACCAGAACTTGATGGTAAGACCCTATTGCTAGAGACACCACATACTTTGGTCATAAGACATGGAGAAATCTAGCTGATAGCAGGAAGCTTCCTCCCTATGATGCCATGAAAGCTGCTGTGGTGAAGCGGTGGGGGTGGGGTAGGGATGTCAACAGTTTTACTCAGACATGAACAATAATGACCAGGTCAGCAAGATATGCCCAAAGTTGTGATAGCGGCATGAATGTCATGGGGTTAAGCACGTACCTTCCAATTGGTGTGAAGGCCTGCTCCACAGGAGGAAACTCATGACTGGCAGTATAAATCCGGCCAAGAACTCATGGTTGGGGAGCTCCTGGGTACCAAGGGCGAACCTAATATTATTCTGCAAAACAGACATAATATCAAACTGCAGTCTAAATTCATTTCTCTATTACCTATAGATTAGTATAGCTCACAGACTTCAGCAGAAGTTTCTTTATACAGTGGATGGTGATTCACAACTTAATGCTCAGCCAATAAGCAGGACATCAATGTCACCACCGCCACCACTACTCACAAAACTCAGGGACCATCACAGAAGAGGGGGGCAAGAAGATTGTAAGAGCCAGAGATCAGGTGGAATAGAGGAAAGCAGTGTTGTCTGAAAATAATAGGACCACTACACTCATAAACTCAGGGCAGCTGTTTCTGTCCCACCTGGTCCCACAGCCCCAAATAAAAACACAGAGGCATATGTTAATTATATTAACTATGCCTGGAGTCCTATATTCCCTATAGATACATGGTGTCTCTCTGCCTTTCTCTTCCCAGCATTCTCCTCATCTGGTAACCCGCCTATACGTCCTGCCTGGCTACTGGCCAATCAGTGTTTGAATCATCAACCAATAAGAGAAACATGTTAATAGCATACAGAAGTGTATCTCCCATCAAGATAAAGCTAGTAAACATTCTAAGATGGAGGAGGTGGCATGCGCTCCCACCCCTAGCTGAGGAGCTATTGACAGCAGAGAGCTTCTGGGAAAGGGTGGTAGGTCATTCATGCTCCAGTGGATAGCCCCACACCTAGGAGTTAACACAAACTGGATGTGCTGGGTTATTACAAACAAATGACATGAAGATGGGACAGAGTGGGGAGGTAGGGAGTGAGTCGAGGGAGAGTAATGTGGAGATGATTATGATCAAAATATATTGTATGTAATACTTAAGGAATTAATGCATTTTAAATGTCTTTTAAGTTATGAATATGTTTGGTTAATGTTCTAGTTTCATTTTTCTGTTGCTGTGGCAGAAAACAACTTGTGGGAAGAGGGAGTTTATTTCAGCTAATACTTTGAGAATATGGTCCATCATTGTGAGGAAGTCAAGGCAGGGACTTCATGTGTTCTTGCTTGCTTGAACTTACCTTGTTCTTTCCACTTAGCTCAGGGCCCCTGCCTAGGCAAGGGTGCTGAACACAGCGGGCCAGGGCTTCCTTCAATAACTTGAAACAGTTCCCCCACAGATATGACCGCAGGGCAACACAATATAGACAACCCATCTTTGACACTTTCTTCCCTGGTGTTTCTAGGTTAGCAATGAAAGCTAACCATCATAGTTTGATATCACATGTTCATGGATCAAGGCCAATATTCAACAGAATTTGCCTATTGAAAAAGATAGTTGTAAAGGTAAAATGTGGAGATACTCATTGCAGATGATTAATAAGTGTTAATTTTGATAACATGAAACACTCATACCTCCAGTTACAGGCATTATCATGAAAATTGTGCTTAATTATATCTTGACTTTCATCAATAAAATTGTGTTAAGTTTTTTTATTCTCATTATGTAAGTATCACACAGTGCTCTTAATTTGTTACTTAGCCCCAGAAGCCTAAAATACTTACTATGTGTACCTCTGGTCTAGAACATTAATTACAACCGTCAGAAGCCTGGCGGGCAAATGTAAATAAGTAAAGGCAACCAATGGCAATGGTGTGAAACACAGGGAGGTAGTAAGAGAAAACGTGGGTCAAATGCTAAGTATGTGCAAGTGTAAATTAAAGGACTTTAAAATAGGACTATTTTTCTATCTATAAGCATTTAAACACAAGTTTCTCTAAAACAATCCAAGAATATAAACTGATACAGGTTATAACGCACAAATGATGTTATTCACTCATATGTGTAAAGTGGTAAGATCAGTCTCCATTAAGTTATCCTCTAATAGACAAAATATGTGATGTGATTATAAATGAAAAAGAACATTTACTTGTTTTCATAAATGCTGAGCCCCTCCTTCCCCTTTCATGTAGAGTCTAGGTGACCTGATCACTTGAATCTAGGAAGCATGAAGCACAGTACCTGGCACAAAGGTTGTACAATATCTCTTTCTGTACTAGTATTAAGAATAGATACTTAGCAGATGAAAGACTTGTGCACTACCTCTAGGAGGAACTCCCTGGGAGGGTGAGAAAGAATTACAAGATTCAATTTCAGATACTCCCATTGCTTACTGACATGATCTTTATTTCATTTGTCTAACAGAATCAAGTATGGATTTCTAAGGCAGATGCAAAACAAAGCTTGGAAGCCTTTGAAACATTTATAAATTAGTTCATTAGTTTTAGGCACATAAATTTCTGCACACAAGTGTAGTAAAGTCCTAATCATAGGTTCATTGTACCATTTCTTTCATCAGATTTACAGATTGGATTTAAAAGCGTGAATTCTCTCAATTAGCAAACAGTTACTATAAGGATATGATATGTACTGGAGAGTTGTCAGAACTGGATTTGGATTAAGAACTAACCTATGGTCTAATTCTAACTCTTTACTGATTTACATATATAACCTTGGCTTATTCAGTGTCTTAGTTTTCTCATTTATCAAAGATGAGAAGTGTTGTGACAACCAGCAGAGAAGTGGGGTACCACAAGATGCACTGAAATGAATCACCACTTTGTAAAACAAGATGGTGCTATTGCAGATGACTACTATACTCTAATGGAACCACAAGTCTTGATTCATTTAACTTTCCGCCCATAAAATTAGTATTTCTTGTGGCAGAGATTTGATAGACAGCCCTTCAATTTCCTTGAAAAACTATGTTCCTCATTCAGGGTTCTATGCAACAGACTCACACAAGGCTGGGATGCTATGGGTAGTATCCTATCCACATCCAAACTAAGCAAAATCATGAGTACAATAAAGCCACTTGAAGTTCTGGTGGAAAACTACATCAGTCTACAATTTATGCACAGAGAAATTTCACTTAAGTGGTGCCTTTTCCAGTCTCAGCATCTCATCATAAAATGAGCTCACATTGGCAGTGAAAGGTGCCATTGAAGTATTCAATTTTATTAGCCTCCTTCTTTGAATTTGTCATTAAAGCGGGCTAATGCTAGGCTCTGGTTTATCATGAGTGGGACTCACAGCTGGGAACCATATTAGGTTTGCCTCACTTTGCACTGCACAAAACAGGCCCTGAGTTTCTTACTGCTGAGGAAGTGTCATCATCACAGGTCAGGCTTTATTTGAACAGCCTGCTGGTTGGAGGGAACATATCCACTTGTCTGGACCACTATTAAGAAGACATTAGACAAAAAAAGGAGACATTTTTTAGGAAAAATATAGACTTGGATATTAATACTGAATGTTATAATAAAAAAGGCATTTGGAAATACGTTCCAGAAAAACACTGTAAGAAGAGAAAAACCACAAAATGTACCATAAAGTCAAGCTTTATTTAAAAAAATTTTTTTATAAGTCTGTCAACTCCATACATAGGGAAATCATTTATTCTTTTCCTGTCAGATGAGGTGCAATGCTTCAATCCCTGTCTGAAGAACAGAAGTAGAAAATAAAGCTCTTCCAGGAATCTACATGCAACACATTTCTCAGCTTGGTTCAGACTGTAATAAACACCTGAACACAGCAGCTAGAAGTGGCGCAGTCTTGCAGCTGTGTGTGCTGGCATTTCACAAATCTCTTTACTTTCAAACCCCTTGGTTTGGCTCCAGGATCCAAATCTTATAAATGAGAAAACACAGGTTTATCTGGGCTGCCAGAAAAGCCCACTGAATGCATCCTGTAGTGCTCTGTGACAAGCAAGAGAAGAAGTATAGCCACCAGCAAGGTCCTGTGGAGAGGCAGCTCGGACGTGGTTTAAATACCTGAAAGAAAACAAAAAAAGTGTACCACTGATGTAAAAAACATGTAAGTCGGTGACATTTTACAAAGCAAATGTAAAACGGATCCCAATTTCAAAAGGAATTCTGAGGTTGAAATGTTCAGGCTTTTATAAATGAACCATTACCTTTTAAAAGGAAACACACCAACTGTATATATGGATTGTCTAACTACTACTCAGCTACAAAGGACAGTGAAGTCTAATAGCAGTTCTGAAGGCTTATAACTCATACCTTTTGATGAAATGTTAAAATGTTCACTGTTTCACAATTTCCAGTGCTGATTTGTTTTGTTGGCTGCTATCCTTTTTGGCATGCTCTTAATAAACACACATCATGACAATATTATGCTACTAACAGTTTTACAAAAGCATTTTCAAGCAAATCCTTTAATACCAAAAACAAAAGGAGCAGGGAAATCACCCCAGTATCTCCAAAGCATGATGTCTCCTTCCTTGCAGGAAAAGAAACATTAGATATTACATGTGTAAAAAATCTGAGAGTAGGTATAGAAGAATCCAACTGATTTCAAAAGATAGAATAACAATATTTCTTTAGTTTCACAGTCTTTTACCGCTGAAGAATTTCTGCCTTCATAAAAACAGACAAAATAGGCCTAAAAAAATAAGACAATCCCACCAGACAAGTGACTTGTCAGCATGACCATCACCGCTGCAGGAAAACAAGTATTTCCAGCCTTGCATTAATGCCTCTGTAGGAAACCACATAGTCCCTGGAAACAAAGCTGCTTCAGCCACTTTCAGAATTACAGGTATGACAAATGAGTAAATCAGGAAGCAGGATGCTTTAATAGCTTGGAACCTTTTCTACTCATTCATTCAAACTTCCTGTGTCAAGATCTTAATGCATGAGCAACTTCTTATTTCTAACAAAATAGCAAGTCAGTTTTTTTTTGTTCGTGTTTATGTATAATAAGTCTGTATGGTTAAAATATATATGGCAATTTGAGGGACCAAATAGAAGAAGCTGTCAAAATGAAACAGGCCAAGCTCTTGGAACTGGCTATAATTTACTCACATTACACAAATCATGGTCTTAACTCAAATCTTTGCTTTTCTGCCAAGGGTGAAAGTCAAAGGAAAAACAAAAGTTTATTGAGCAACAATCTGTAACTATTTGGGTAGTATATTTATAGCATACCCAAAACTTTTAAGTTTTATAGAATACAAATAATGGATATTCTATGTAATATACACATTACATACAACTGTAGTACCTTATGAAATGTTTATAAGTGAAAAATTTAAGGGGTAAAATATTGATTATGTCAGTATATGTATCTCCAAGGATGCATCCTACTTCAGTAAATAATATCATTAAATGTCACTGATGAATTCCAGGTAGAGTCTAAGGTCTCACAGGAATTAAACAAGAATTCATTAATCTATCACATGACTACAAAGTTATTTTCTTAGTGCCCTCCCATAGCACCATACAATGCCAGCTGTAAAGAATCTGATGGATAGGGCTAGGAGGCAGAGGCAAGTACATCTCTGAGCTCAAGGCCAGCATGGTCTACATAGCAAGTTCTAGGCCAGCCAGGGGGACAAAGTAAGACCCTGTAACAAAAGCCCAAAACAAACAAACAAGAAACCAAAGAAGGATTCCTACTAATACAGAAACAAGATAAGTGGTGAGTTACCTCAGAACATAAAACTGAACTCCTAACACTGTAAACTCAATGATAATGATAATCACACAAATAAGAAATAGTTTTATAGGCAAAATTGAATTTAAATACTCCATTTTGACAAATGATGGCACCTTCCTCTCCTCAGATCCTCAAAAGAAAGGTGGAGTTCTGGTTCCATTTAGCTCACACCCATCAAATACAAGCACCACAGTATTTGTCAACAGTCAGAGAACGACTATCACAAATGGAATTGCTTTTCACAGTTTTAATAAAAACCAATGTGCAGCTAACTATTGGTTCACTGCATTTGGTCTGGCTTGCTTCTGGGAAAGTTGAGTCACACCATTTCTGGCTTGGCAAGTCCAGTATAAACTTGCAGGGTGCACACAGCTTTTTATATGTTATGCTGAGAAACCTGAAACAGCTGCACTGCTGGCAGGCAAACGCAGGCCCAGTAAAATACCTAAAACAGTTGCATCTTCTAATTTATGACTGTGCACTGTTTCCATAAAGAGTATATAAAACAGTTCAGCTTTTATAAGGAAAATGTAATAAACAGTCATACTCATTGAGGCCATAAATGCATTTTTTAAAAGTTTATCTAAAATGATTAATTAGTGTTTGAAAATAGTATTTCTTGAACACAGTCATAATCCAAAGCAATGAGCAAATATTGTTAAATTTGAGTTATTAATGGTAAGTTGTATGATTCCCACTGCCAAAATAAGTCAATTAAAATTTCTTTGCATAGCATTGAAGAAAATACATTCCCCTTCTCCAACCATTTACATTAAAATGTCTGGGACTAAGGTCTTTCAGAGTCTTCCCTATTTATATTGCTCTTTTTGATCTCCAGGGCTTTACGTAACTTTTACTGTTAAATGTTTCAAAATATTTGAACCAAGGCAATCTGTATTGATTCCATTTAAAAATATAGTTCACTCTTACTATTCAGTTGTAGGATTTTGTTTCTAGGTGTTTTAATTCATTGCTTAAACCCTTTAATTATTGTGGTATGCCAAAGCATTTTAAGGATCTGCCACATTGAAACCAGACGTCAAGAATTTAGTTTTTGCCTACTTTTCCACCTTACTCCACACCTATGCTTATTCTTCTGTAATCATTAAAATGACATCTCTTGGGGTTACAGCAGAAGTCAGCATAATTTTATGTATAATTTATGTAACAAAATGAGGAAAGAGTCTTAGGCAAATTCATTTGCAGAAGTCAAGCTTTGGTGCCTGGACACAACAGCTCTACTTAGCCAATGTCAAGACACTATTTCTGCTTTTCATGATGCATAAATCTTGTAAGTAGAAACCAGTGTGGGGTTGCTTTTTTTGGTAGTATACCACTAGTTTTACTGAAAACAGACCAAATTCAGATTTAAAAAAATCATTATTTTCTTAATAAAGCCTAACAGTATGTTTTCAAAACCGCATGTAAGATAATTCTTATACAAAGAACATCTTGAACTGTAATTTATGCTCTCTGCCTGAAGTTGCCTTCCTTTGTCACTATGCATCAAAATCACTATCGGACTCTGGAGATGGAGGAAGAAAAGGAACAGTGGACCATGGAGAAGAAAATAGTTGGACATTAGACTGGTGGTTTTCCTGGACTTTGATTAACATCATCATTCTCATTTTTAGCAGCTTTTATTCCCCAGTAGGTGGTATAATTACACTTTTCTTCAGAAAAACTTCATTTCCTCGGGTCCTGACACAGAGAGTGGCTCTGATACTACTCTTACTATTCCTTTCCCTTAAAAGCCTGCAGCGACCACTGGCAGACAGACAGCACTCAGTTCCTTTTGGTGCTACTCACATCACACTCTCGGGAAGGGGCAGAGGGAATCAACATTAAGACAAGCACCATTCAGAGCCTCATCGTGACTAGGGCATGGCAGCTCCGAATAACCTTCAAGTTTTAGAGTTGAAATGGAAATGAGTTCATGTTAGCTGCTTCTTTTTTTAAATTGCTAGCCCTGTGAAGAATTACACTCAGGTTCCAAGTTAGGAAGGCATGGAAGCCTACAGAATGGGACTTGCCTTTCACAAACAGAGTGTGCTTTCCCCATGCTTTGTGTTTTGAGACATAGTCTGCCTACATTTCTAGGACTGGCCTCAAACTCAAGTGATCTTCCTGTCTACAGGCTCACTGGACTGTGCCAAGCTGCAGGGTACCCATTTAAAGTTTGCGTTTGATGCCATTGTGAATTAAACAGACCTGCTCCATACAGTTCTGTGTTCCAGCTGTCAAGACTAAGAGCTCTTAGAAGTGTAAGGATTCCATCTCATGGGCTAGGATGATACTTGTTGGTAGAACACTTGACTAACATGTTCAAGGCCCTCGTTTGAATTCCATGAACTACACTACCTCCCCGAAAATATTTAGCCGTGGCTACAGAATATATTTTTCTTCTTTTTTCTTTTTTTGGAGTTTTTCAAGATAGGGTTTCTCTGTGGCTTTGGAGGCTGTCCTGGAACTAGCTCTTGTAGACCAGGCTGGTCTCAGACTCACAGAGATCCACCTGCCTCTGCCTCCCGAGTGCTGGGATTAAAAGTGTGCGCCCAGCTCAGAATATTTTTATTGAACCAGGGAGATAATTGTCAGTAAAGTGCTTGCTATACAAGCTGAGGACCTGAGTCAATTCTTGACACATATATAAAAAGATGTATGTGGTGGTCCACATTTATAATCCCTGTGCTAGGAAAGACAGGAGGATCCATGGCTCACTGTTCAGCCAGCCTGGCTTAATTGGTGAACCAGGCCAATGTGAGACCTGTTTCAAAGGAGGTAGATCATTGGCCACTCCATGTGGACATTCGGGCGCACCTATACCACATACACATTCATGCAACACATCCACAAACACACACACACACACACACACACACACAAAAATTAACCCCCCCCCAAGCAATAGTGATAGTGTACTCAGACAACTACTGCTAAAATAAAGAAATTCTAAAACTAAATTTTCACTTAACTTGTGCTAGCTTAATCATAACAGTAGAATAACAACGAATGGATAATTGTATGAGCTAAGATAAATGTGGAAGGTGCTATGATTCAGATACTGTCCATAATTCTACAGGTAGTTTGATTAGGAAAACATGTGGCCTCATGAGCTCCAAACCAAAAAAAAAAAAAAAAAAAAAAAATAAAGGAAAAGAACTGATGATAAAGGCCCTGTGGTGCTGCACACCTATAATCCCAGCATTTGGAGAGCTGAGACAGCCTTCTGCTCCCATGCCTTCCCACCCTGATGAACTCCTATCCCTCTGGAACCAAAAGCCAAATAAATTCTTCCTTATAAGATGCCCAG